TTATGATTGTTACTTTACATAATATTCAGAAACACTGTCAAATTCAGCCCCATTTTACAGATGAAGACTCAAGAGAAGTTGACCTCTGCCCAAGGACAAAGCCAATAAGCAATCAAATCCAAGCTTGGCAGGCTCCCAAGCCCATGATCTTTCCACTGCATCACTGGTTTTCCACCCTTCTAGTCTGGGTTCTGCTTGCAAATCTACATTAAATAGGCGGTAAGGAAAGGGCCATTTCTTTCATAATTCACAATATAGCTATATTGTAGATGTCAGAACCCTAAAAAGATTTTTAACATTAGAACAAAGAAAACAATACTGTAATACAATTTTTGCCTTCTCTGAAGGTGACATTGCACCACTTAACACAAAGGAGATACATCTACCATCATTAATACTGCCAAGGCATATCTTAAGAAAATAAGGCCCAGGCCGGGTATCTCATTTGGTTAGAGCGTTGTTCCAATAGGCCAAGGTTGTGAGTTCCATCCCTGGTCAGATCACATACAAGAAACCACCAATGAATGCGTAAACAAGTGGAACAAACTGACGTTTCTCTCCCTCTCCCCCTTCCCCTCTCTAAAACAATTTAAAAAATTAAATTAAAAATTTTGTTTCTTCCAGAAGTGACCTTCCAGTCAGGTCACCACATTAAAGAAATCTCCTGAAATTAGTTACAAACCAGAAACGTATCTTGTTGTTCTAGCGTTCATATTTTCTTCTGGCACAACTGGACATATTCAAAAGTAGACAAATTCAATGGTGTAATCCAGATATTCCAAGTTTCCAAAATGATACATCCAACCCTCAAATGCCCATGCAAGCAGGTGGATCCAATTCAACATTGGTAAATCAAATTAACAGAAAATTCTCCAATATCGCTTTAGTGATTTAACTGAGGTTCAGTTCTTTGCTTTGGCTGTTTGCCTGTTGTTAATAAGCTATAATATAGCATAACAAATAAGCAGAGAAATATCCCAGAATCCTCAAATTAGTGGCTCACTGAGATAAAATTGACTTTTAAAGGGAGAAGTAAACCCTTTCCTATATAGGTAAGGAAGTCTTTGAGGAAGCTGGAACAAGAACCCAGTTTCTGAAGTCCCATTCGTGTCTTCCAAGATTATCAAATAGTCTACCATTCCAAATTTGGCCCCTCATTCCAAAGCCCAATGATCTGTGAACATCTAGTGGACTTCAACTGCTGGTTCTTAATGTGAAGGTTCAAACATAAAGAATAGTGACGGTTTTGCCCAAGGCTAGGTTATAAACTAGTCAGCAACCTTACCTAACTGGATTTCAGATTCACCATCCATAGCATAAGAATTTGCCGAGGTAACCTCTACAGTACCTACCCTAAAATGCTCAAGTTCAATAACAAGCTTCCTAAACAAAACAAAATAAAACCAGGCTCTCATAGTTTGGCAAATCACTTCACTTAGAAAAATTTTATTTCCTTGATAGGAAAAATAGCAAACAAAAAATTACAGACATGATCACAAAGAAGGCTCTCTGGCAATTTAGGGTTTTGGTCTTGTTTCTAAGTCCTTTCCCATACAAGGATAAAAATTAATATGCTATTACTGGATAACTTAAGTCTATATTCTCAGCCCTGAAGGTGATTCTTCAGATCTCTGGGCCATCATTTAACTGCTCATCACCTCTCCACATACTAAAATGTTAGAATACTTACCTTTATCTCAAGCGACAGATGAACATATTAAAACACTAAGTAGTTATGACCCCAATGGATTGTTTCCATGAAAGTGAGCATAAGAATTAACCCTGAAACATTCCAGACCCATGTGGAGTGATTGTAATCTCTTCACCAACCCAAGAACCACGAACACCATGTGTTTTGAGATTTGCACACACTTTGGGAAATGACTATTTAAATCATGGGTTTAAACAAGTTGCCATATGAAAACTATGTTGGATGTGGGGATGAATTTTCCCAAGTATATAAAGCCAACTGTTCGCTGGAAGAAAAAAAATTTAATTTCTTCTCATAAGTTGTCACTTAAATATCTTCATTCTTTTTTTTTTTCCTTGTTAGAAAGAAAAAACTTGTTATAACCCAACTGTTTTGGCTGCTGTCACTAAAGAGAATATACTAGAATAGTGCAACTCTTGGTGATCCAAAGAACAGTACTTGTTGGATTCCTATCAAACACTTGAGAAACAATTCGATATAGTGACCTCAAATAGCTAGTTTGCATTTGAATATTGATCCAATGGCTGTATTCTTCTGGATTAGCAAGAAATATTTCACTGATCTCTGTTCTTCCATACAGAGCTCAAGGCTCATCCAGCGATACATCCCCAAAAGTGAAAAAGCAAAATTTTCTGGGAGAAGGATTTCCATACTAATATCAAGTACTTACGAATTTGTGTGTAGATATTCAAAGGTTAGCTGAGCTCGATTCAGACTGCTGTAATTTGTGAAAGCCATGACTGCAGTGAGGTCCAGTCCTTTAACCACTAACTGGTAAATACAACCTTACAATGAAATAGATTCTCCAGGATTCCTTCAAGAAAGGTTTGGTAAGTCTGTGCTCCTTACAGTTAAACAAGGTTACTGCGTATCTATCCAAAATATAGTCAAAGATGTCTAAAACTACAATTGATTTCTCCTTTAAGTATTTTTTTATCTTCTCAGACTATGATGTAATATTGAGAACTACGTCATAAATCTGTAGTCTTAGGAGCTTTAACGTTAAGTTTCGATAGTTCAATGAGTTGAAATGTGGATAATCTTGAAGTAGATGGTACTGGAGTTGGCGGTTTTATTACTGCTCCATCTTCGTTTTCTTGAGCCCTTTTTTGTTCTAGGAAATTTACCAATCCGGAAACTTACCAACCCGGAAATTTATCTTCTGTTACAAAACTGGACAATCACCCATGTCTTCGCCACCAATGATCCCAGGATCCTTAATTAGACCCCAGACTGGCGACCATGATTGTCGAGTATATATGGTGATAGTTTGGCTTCACGAACTCCTAACTGAAATATCTCTTAACCGCTGATGGCGGATTCCAGTTTTCAGAGCCCCGCCCGAATCTCCTCTGGGTGTGTCAAATTACCTCACAATGACCCGCTAAAAAGCCTCAGAATTAACCTGCTGAAATCACTTCAGGCGGGCTCGCCCCTCCCCCCACTCTCCTCAGACAGCGGCCTCAGCCTCTCAGGCCCTTTCCGGGCCTCCCCTCAAGGAGAGGAGTCAGGCCCAGCTTTCAGAGCCCCGGTCGAGGGCAACGGGGCGCGCACCACGCGACCGGGCGTTGCCCTGCGCTAGCGGCTGCCTTTGTCCCTCCCCAAGGAATTGGAACCCAACAACCGCAGCGCGCTCTTGGAACCATGTGCCGCCGCCGCCGCCTCCGCCGCTGCCGCTGCCGCCGCCGCCGCCGCCGCAACACTAGCCGCCCCTGCACCGCGCTGAATGAGATGATGACAGTACTCAGCACCACGAAGTTCGCCTTTTAGGGCTGCTTCGCAGCCGCTTCCGCAGCCAGTACAGCCACGGCTTTGTCTCCGCCACTGCACACGAACCAGGCTCCCTCGCGCACTCCCCGACGCCCAAACCCCCGAGGCCTCCGCCGTGCATTCAGCCAATCATAGAGCCGCAGCTCCTCCCGCCCCCGCCCTAAAACGAAGCCTCCCGATTGGTGAGCAGTGGGTCTCCACGTGACCGGATCTTATTAGCCGGGCCCGCCCCTGTCACGTGAGAGAGAGCGCCTCTCTTCCTGCTTTCCTTATCCTCTCCGCCATTTAAAGAAACAGTACCGGGGGCGGGCCGAGCGACGCAGCCGGGACGGTAGCTGCGGTGCGGACCGGAGGAGCCATCTTGTCTCGTCGCCGGGGAGTCAGGCCCCTAACTCGAAGAAGCCCTGGCGCGCCCTCCCCCCCTCCCCGGTCTGGTAGGGCGAAGGAGCGGGCGCGCGGTCGATCGAGCGATCGGTTGGCGGCTCTTTCTCCTGCTCTGGCATCCAGC